TAGACTCTCCAGTTGATGTGTATTGGAAGCGTGGCTTGATTTGTTTACTCTTGAACATTGGCAAAAATCGATCATTTCCACAACTTTGAGCTCAATTTCAAGGTACTTGTCATTGTGAAACCAATCAAAATCATCTCTAATTCTGTAATATATCTTCCATTCTATCAAATGAGACCAAGGAAACGAGAATATAACCATAAACACCATACGAAAATACACTAGAAAGTCACTGTTTTAAACCAAAAATACTGTCGAAGTTTTTTTTTTTTTTCATTATACACAGCGTGCTTCAGGATTTTTTTTATACTGTGCACACTGACCACACAGACCCTTTCTTTCATATGTAGGCCTGCCAGCTTTCTTCCACCAGATTTGAAGGCGCTAGAATTTAGGCGTACAAATACGTGACCAACCCTGACTGCAATGACGTACTTTTACATGACCGACCCTCGGAGGGTTAAGGGTTTTGCCTGGTCATCAAAAACCTTAATCAAAAAAAAACTTGAATTGGCTATTAAGGAGAAGCCCTTTAGTAAAATTGTTGGGTATTTGAAGGAAACGTATAAATTGAAAAGCTCGCAAACTTATGGGTTAAACTGTGTAGGGTTAAATGTTGAGTGGTGTACAAAGCAGATTTTGGAAAGTGTGCCTTCTGTTTTTCTTTTATATGTGCTAGATCTTTCTTCTTTCAACACACAGGCTGTATCTCACCAAGGCAGGGTGGCTCAGAAAGAAAAAAGAAAGTTTCTCTTTTTAAATTTAGTAATGTATAACGAAGAAGTGGTTACTAGCCCCTTGCTCCCGGCATTTTAGTCGCCTCTTACAACACGCGTGGCTTACAGAGGAAGAATTCTGTTCCACTTCTGAATGGAGATAAGAGGAAATAAACAAGAACAAGAATTAGTAAGGAAATAATGTAGAAGAAAACCCGGAGGGGTGTGTATATAATATATGCTTGTACAGTGGACCCCCACATACCGTTGGCATTACTGTACATAACGTTAAATCCGCATACCGATACATTTTATCGCTAAGATTTTGCCTCGCATACCGCTAAAAAACCCGCTCAACGCTGTTCGTCCGAGGCACGTCTAATGTGCGGCCTGAGCCAGCCTCACATGTTCCGCCGGTGGCATTGTTTACCAGCCAGCCTCCGCGGTAACATCCAAGCATACATTCGGAACATTTCGTATTATTACAGTGTTTCTGGTGATTTTATCTGCAAAATAAGTGACCATGGGCCCCAAGAAAGCTTCTAGTGCCAACCCCACAGCAATAAGGGTGAGAATTACTATAGAGATGAAGAAAGAGATCATTGCTAAGTATGAAAGTGGAGTGCGTGTCTCCGAGCTGGCCAGGTTGTATAATAAACCCCCAATCAACCATCGCTACTATTGTGGGCAACAAAACGGCAATCAAGGAAGCTGTTCTTGCCAAAGGTTCAACTGTGTTTTCGAAAAAGATCGCAAATGATGGAAAAATGTTGAGAGACTCTTATTGGTATGGATAAATGAAAAACAGATAGCAGGAGATAGCAAACTCTCAAGTGATCATAATGAAAAGGCTAGGAAGTTGCATGAGGATTTAATTAAAAAAATGCCTGCAACTAGTGATGTGAGTGAATTTAAGGCCAGCAAAGGTTGGTTTGAGAGATTTAAGAAGCGTAGTGGCATAGTGTGATAAGGCATGGTGAGGCTGCCAGTTCGGACCAAAAGCAGCTGAAAAAAATGTTTCAGGAATTCAAGGAGTACAAGACAGTGAAGGACTGAAACCTGAACAAGTGTTTAATTGTGATGAAACAGGCCTGTTTTGGAAGAAAATGCCAAGCAGGACCTACATTACTCAGGAGGAAAAGGCACTCCCAGGACATAAGCCTATGAAAGACAGGCTTACTCTGTTGATGTGTGCTAATGCTAGTGGTGATTGCAAAGTGAAGCCTTTATTAGTGTATCACTCAGAAACTCCCAGAGCATTCAGGCAAAAGAATATCCTCAAGGCTAATTTGTGTGTGCTGTGGAGGGCAAACAGTAAGGCATGGGCCCACTAGGGACTTTTTCTATGACTGGTTACACCATGCATTTCCCCCCAATGTGAAAGATTACCTAATTGAAAAGAAATTAGCCTTAAGTCCCCTGGTGTTAGACAATGCCCCTGGTCATCCTAACAGACGTGGCAGAGCGATTTTTATGGGGACATGAGCTTCATTAAGGTGAAGTTTTTGCCTCCTAATACCACTCCTCTCCTGCTCCCCATGGACCAGTAGGTTATTGCAAACTTCAAAAAACTGTACACAAAAGCTCTTTTTGAAAGGTGCTTTGTAGTGCCCTCAAAAAACTCAACTGACTCTAAAAAGAGTTTGGAGAGGGGCATTTTAAATATCCTCAATTGTGTAAACCTTATAGGTAAGGCTTGGGAAGGAGTGACTAAGAGGCCCTTTGAACTCTTGGAAGAAACTGGGGCCAGAATGTGTAGCCCAAAAAGTGATTTTGAAGGGTTTCAGGCAAACCCCTGAGAGGAGTATGCCAGTTGGGGAAATCCATTGTGGCTTTGGGGAAAGTCCTTTGGGGTTTGGAGGTTAGTGGGGATGATGTGGAAGGGGTTGGTGGGGAGGACAATGAAGAACTAACCACTGATGAGCTGCTAGATCAACTTCAACAGCAAGAGCCAGACCTGAGGAATGGTTCGGAGGAGGGGAGAGAGAAATTGAAGAAGTTGCCTACTTCAAGATTAAGGAAATTTTGTGGAAGTGGGGTTAAAGTGCAAACCTTTTTTGATGACAATCACCCTAACACAGCTATTGCAAGCCGTGCTGGTGACTATTACACTGACACTTGTGAAACACTTTAGGGAAGTCATAAAGGAACGAGAGGTACAGGCCACTATGGACAGATATGTTGTGCGACAGAAGTCCAGTGACTCTGAAGCTGGTCCTAGTGGCATTAAAAGAAGAAGGGAAGTAACCCCAGAAAAGGACTTGACACCTCAAGTCTTAATGGAAGGGGATTCCCCTTCTAAACACTAAGACTCTCTCCTCCTCCCATCCCATCAATCATCACCAGATCTTCAATAAAGGTAAGTGTCATGTAATTGTGCATGCCTTTTTCAGTTTGTGTGTATTAAAATTAATATTTCATGTGGTAAAATTTTTTTTTTCATACTTTGGGGTGTCTTGCACGGATTAATTTGATTTCCATTATTTCTTATGGGGAAAATTCATTCGCATAACGATAATTTCGCATAACAATGAGCTCTCAGGAACGGATTAATATTGTTATGCGGGGGTCCACTGTACATGCATGTGTAGTGTGACCTAAGTGTAAGTTGAAGTAGCAAGACGTACCTGAAATCTTGCGTGTTTGAGACAGAAAAAGGACACCACCAATCCTACCATCGTGTAAGACAATTACAGGTTTCCATCTCACTCACTTGGTAGGACGGTAGTACCTTCCTGGGTGGTTGCTGTCTACCAGCCTACTACCTAGGATGTCTTAGATATAGGCATTAAATTTTGATTTGCTGCCCAAGAGTGGGTCTAGGAGTGCCTGCAATCTGAAGGACGGATGAGGATATTTTTCAATTTTAAACTGTAGTATCAGTGCCACTCTGGTTAGACAGTGATACAGCGAGTGATGCTTAAAGTGTTTCGTCTTTTCTGGGTCAGTGATGACCAGTGTTAAATGATTGAAAGTTAAAATGTGTGTGATGAATACCATTTAGCCAGGCAGGGAGTCAAGCTCTGGTGCGATAAACCACTTTGCCTGACACCCTTAACTTTGGGCAGCCAGCAGATACTAGCTGCAGATTCCTAATGCTGGGTGCAATTAAATGCAGTGGAACCTCGGTTTTTGTATGCTCTGGTTTTCGTAGGATTCGGGTTTTCAACAACTTTTTTTGTAGAAATTGTCCCAGTTTTCATACATCCGCTCAGTTTTCTTAGAGTTGACAATGGTCCGCCGTACAAAATACGTCCGCCTACCCACGTCCACACAGAATGCGTGGACCAGAATGTGCCCTCGAGAAGGATTTTGAAGGGTTTGAGGCTGACTCTGATGACCCTACACCTATTGTAGAAGCTATTGTCTTTGGGGAAGTCCATGAGGTTGGATGTGAGTGGCAAGAATGTGGAAGAGTTGGTGGACGACTACAGGGAAGAGCTAACCACTGAAGAGCTGCAAGATCTTCAACTGGAACAGCAACAGACTGCACCTGAGGAAATTGCTTCAGAGGAGGAGGAAGAGAGAGGGGAGAATGTACCTTCTTGAGTGATTAAGGACATGTGTGCAAAGTGGAATGAGTTGCAAAGTTTTGTGGAGAAATATCACCCTAACAAAGCTGTTGCAAGCCACATCTGCAAAATGTTCAGTGACAATGCCTTGTCCAATTTTAGGCAAATCTTAAAGATACCAGAAATGGACCTCTCTGGACAAATTTTTTTGTGCGACAGGAGTCCAGTGACTCAAGCTAGTCCTAGTGCCAGTAAAAGACAAAGAAGGAAAGTAACCCCGGATAGAGCCTTGATACCTGGAGTCCTATGGACGGGGATTCCCCTTCCAAATAGTAACCTCCCCCTCTCCCCTCCTTGCTGTCTTCCATACGCCAACAAGTCTTCAATAAAGGTAAAAGTGATGTTAAAGGTTCATTTATCGATATCATTAGTCATTTATATTTACATGTATTTCTCGTTGTTTTCTGTATGTAAAACCGCAGTTATTCTCTATAAAATATATTTTATGTTAATATTTTTGGGTGTCTTGAATGGATTAATTGGATTTACATTATTTCTCTTGGGAAATATTGCTTCAGTTTTTGTACAGTTCGGTTTTTGTCAGACTTTCTGGAATGAATTAATCATGAAAACAGAGGTTCCACTGTATATTGTACCAGCTAGCCTAATGTTTGAAACAGAAAGGAAAAAAAATGGCAATCCTTTCAAAGTACAAAAAGTCTAAAGGCTTATTTTTTCACAGGATTTTAACTTTTTGTTATAAATTTTTTTGCAGCATCATGTGCAGCAGCTTTTGGAGAAGAGGATTGGGATTGGGTCATAAATGCTGCTGGAGAGACTAAAACTGGACAGGTAAGACTTGTGTTAATCTTATATTTCTGTATACTCTCCTTTATGAAGTAGAGATGTGGCATATTTCTTTGCTACTTTCCATCTGCTTTGTCTAAAAAAATTTTTTCACTGACTTGAAGTATGAGGTCACTCTCCAATAGCCTGACTGTTTAGAGATGTGGGGTGCAGTTAGCAGATTGAAACTCTAGGTTCTATGCCTTGCAATGAATGACCCTTGCAGGCTTATCGTTCCTATAATATAAGACTCTAGAAATGGGAATTTGAATACCTTTAATTTTTTAACCACATTTGATTCAAATGATCCTCTGAACATCTGTAACATACCTACCTCTACTGCGAAGTGCAGGCACTAATTTCCACCTCTAAGTCCAGCTAAGGGGTTTCCCCTGAATCGGTTTATAAATACAGGTCTCCCTCAACATTCGCGAGGGTTAGGGGATCAAGAGCCTCGCGAATGTTGAAAAACCGTGAATGTTTGGTGCCCCAATATATTGTAGGGAAATATAATACAATACTGCTTCCTTAACTTGTTGAACCATGAACAATCATAAAATACATGAAAATGTCATAAATTGTAATAAATATATACATGTTATGCTTTAATAACATGTATGTTATTAAATACCACAGACTCCTCCGCTGCCTCCACCAATGCCTCCACCACTTCCTCAACCACTGCGAGTCCCTACTACCCTCCCACCGACCCCCGCAACTGGCAGCCAGCCCTCCCACCACTCAGTGTGGTGAGTGTTTTGTTTGTTCATTATTTGCTATTAAACTACAGTATAAATAATGTAAACACATTTATGACTGCATATTGGAATGGCTATTTGGACAGGTATTGGATGGTGACATCATGTGTTTACTCTTGAACACAGCAAAGAATAATAATAATAATAATAATAATAATAATAATAATATAATAATAATAATACGATATAATTGAAGAAGGAAATTGTACAAAAATACGAGGGAGTGGTTGACATATCGTCAGTGTGGCTTTGTTTATGCTGGAGTGAGCATTAGTCTCCCTGCTCTTCCAAACATTTCACAATAATTCAGCAGTTGAGGCAGTGGTATTTAATAATATATATGTTATAAATAATAATAGTACATGTTATTAATAATAATAATACATGTTATTAATAATATGTATGTTATTAAATACCACTGCCTCAACCACTGCCTCAATCGCTGCCTCAACAGCTGCCTCAACCACTGCCTCAATCGCTTCCTCAACAGCTGCCTCAACCACTGCCTCAATCGCTGCCTCAACAGCTGCCTCACCCACTGCCTCTAACAGCTGCCTCACCCACTGCCTCAATCGCTGCCTCAACAGCTGCCTCACCCACTGCCTCAATCGCTTCCTCAACAGCTGCCTCACCCACTGCCTCAATCGCTGCCTCAACAGCTGCCTCAACCACTGCCTCAACCACTGCCTCAATCGCTGCCTCAACAGCTGCCTCAACAGCTGCCTCAACAGCTGCCTCATCCGCTGCCTCAACCACTGCCTCAATCGCGGCCTCAACAGCTGCCTCAACCACTGCCTCAATCGCTGCCTCAATAGCAGCCTCAACAGCTGCCTCACCCGCTGCCTCAACCACTGCCTCAATCGCTGCCTCAACAGCTGCCTCAACAGCTGCCTCAATCGCTGCCTCAACCACTGCCTCTACCACTCCAGCTGCACTCAATCTACTAGCAGCAAACACAATGAATTATTGTGAAATGTTTGGAAGAGCAGGGAAACTAATGCTCACTCCAGCATAAACAAAGCCACACTGACGATGTGTCAACCACTCCCTTGTATTTTTGTACAACTTCATTCTTCAATTATATGTATTTATTATTATTATAATTTTTTTATTATTATTATTATTATTATTATTACTATTGTTACTATTGTTATTATTAGCAGTAGCAGAAATGTTTGATTCTTTGCTGTGTTCAAGAGTAAACACATGATGTCACCGTCTAATACCTGTCCGAATAGCCATTCCAATATACAGTCATGAATGGGTTTACATTATTTATACTGTAGTTTAATAGCAAATAATGAACAAACAAAACACTCACCACTCTGAGTGGTGGGAGGGCTGGCTGCCAGTTGCGGGGGTCGGTGGGAGGGTAGTAGGGACTCGCAGGTGGCGTGAAACTTGAATATGATTTGGTGGCTGGAAATTTGGTGGCTGGGAATTTGGCGGTTGGGAAATCGCGAATGTGTGAAGCCCGCGAAAGCTGAAAACGTGAATGTTGAGGGAGACCTGTATTAACCTTGCTCACATTTTACCAACACATCAAATCCCTGAACCCATTTGTCTCCATTTGCCCTGATCTATGGCTTACACATGTATTTTATGTACTGCATAAGTTGTACATCATGGTGCTGCTATGCTATAGTATGGCTATACCTCTTATTGTTTGTT